TCGCGTCGAAAATTTTTTGGGAAGGTAATGATGTTCAATTTTGTGGTTTTATTCCCTTCGTGAGTTCAATCGCAATTCTAGAAAAGTATTGGTTTTAGAAGTTTTGCCACTTATTTCGGATTACTAGCTTCTCTTTCATTATCCTTTTAAACGACATTCTCTACTAAGTATCGAAATGATGTATTTTTTACGATATTCCACATTGCTTTTGTTTTGTTGCTAACGTGCAAAATATTTTGATTATCTTTATTATTTTTGCCTGAACTATCACTTACCAGACCGAGGGTCTGGGGGCGCCGTGCTATTAAAATCTCCAAATTCAAAACGAAATAATAACTCTTTTATATAAAAGATCAAATCATAGAATAAATAAACGAAGCGCGTTTTTTGTATTATAATCAACACAACGCAAAACTTATCAAAAGTTGACCAACGAAGTTAAATTTTACGATATGTAACAAAATGTCTCTAGAATGTATATAGCAACATATGGTCAAGAATAGCAAGGAACAGGGAAACATGGAAGGCTCAAGAGAAACAAAAGACACAAGACATTAGTGATAGGAAGTGTTAAATGTGAATAAGTGTAAGTACTAAAGTAAATGTAAGTGTAAAAATGAAAACAGGAGTAAATGTATGAACCAAGTGAAATGACACTAGAATGTATCTAAAAACTGAATGCAGTTCGTATTAAATTAGCATATTGTGCAATGTACAGGCAGGCTGGCACTAGGTAGGAGTTCTGTACTGATAACAGTAAATCTCTTGAGTACTGGTTCACCGAATGATAAGCAGAACCACCCCGTTCTGATAGAAGGCCCCTGCCCTTATAGGGATTCAATGGGCTTATTCATCATCACCAACCATCGAGAAAAATGAATCCGACAAACCGATTAAAATAAAAAGACAGTTAATGAATTAGGATAAGTTAATGAATTAGGAAAGTCAAAGATCGATCAGCACAAGGGTTGCATTTTGATATTGTCGAATGCATGAATGCAAGCGATTAATTTATCTGAATGTGAAGGTGAAGGATATGATGGTGCAGCAGTTATGTGTGGAATTTACTGTGGTGTTCCAAAAAAAAAAGGGAGGAAAAATAGATTTGGGAATGAAATGTTTGTGGATTGTACTGATCATAATTTAAATCTTGTACTTAATGATGCCATATATGGAATATTAGAAATTCAGACATTTGACAGACTGTTTGCTGAAACGAATTTGTTTTCTTTGGTCATAGCAGTAATGGATGGAACACAGAATTATCAAGTGACGGATGTAGATGAAAAGAGAAATTATCTTTCATTAAAAAGCCTTTGTCCTACAAGACGGTCATCACAGAACGATTCCCTAATAGGTATAAGATTTGGATATTTTAATATTTTGCAAGCTTTAACAAAATTACATGGCCGGCCTGGATAGCTCTGGTCCCTACAACTGAAGAGCCATAGCTGCCTCGCGCCTGAAGGTTTGGGGAGTTCGAATCTCACCCGGGGCATGAAAGCTTGTGTGTCCATATATCGTTACCCCCAATGTTATTGTCCGATTTTCTTTAGAATGGGATGATTTAACAGCTAGTGCTGGCAACACAAAAGACGATTCTGATGTCGTTGTGTCTTTGAATTATTAGACTCTCCTTCCTCCATTCGCTCGTTTGCAGTTGGCTAACTTATAAATAGTTACGACGCTCCCTGGCTGTGATGTCCTCCCCCGACGAAAATATAGTGCCCCTCGAAAATAATGAAATTGGAAGTGTAGGCTTTGTGCTCTTCTGTAAAAATTCTTTCTTTTTATAAAATTACATGAATTTAGTTTTTAATGTGATAAGTTATGTTTGTTTTAAAATCGAGTCTTGAACGTGAGATGCATACTCGTGACTGCACATGTTTACTTCTCTGAAGTACACGTGATGTTCACTTGTTTCGCGAACTATCACG